TTGTCTTTGTCGTCTCCTGCGTGGTGTACGCCAGCAAGTTCAAGCCTCAACCGCCGGACTCCCCGCTCACCGGTACGGCCGTCCCGGTGCTCTCTGGCGCGGGTGCGAGGGCTCGCGCCGCCGCGAATCAGCTGGCGTCCGGCAGACGACCACCACGCGAATCGACCACCAACGCACACGACTGGGTATGGTTGGGCAGAGCGACTCTCGAACGAGCTGCCTGCGGTCCGCAACAGGTACGTAACATCGGTGTGAACTCGATGATTTGCGAGTGAGGCCATTAATGAAGCCATCGATAATCATTATTAAAACTAGTTTCGAAACTCTCAAATGGTCAGATTGAATTAACTGCACCATTAAGCATAATTACGTAAATCTATGATCGGCTTGAATCAACGGAATCGGAAATCGCATTTCTCGGAAAGAAAATATTATTTCTTTTAAATTTAATGTTTTCCGCACAAGTGCATCAAATACGTTATTTTATTGTACTCTTTATTACATTCTTTTTAATATTAAATTTGTCCTTTCTATAAATATATAATCTCAAAAAAATTTATTATCTTGATAATGGTAGTGATATTATAGTGATATTTATATGAATTTTTCTATTTTTTATTTATATAAATTTTTCATTATTATTTATATCGATTTCTTTATATCTAAACTCCATAGCACGAATATTAAATACTCAGTACCATAGAATTATCAAGGATTACTGACGAATTAAATAATAACAAATCAAATTTCAGTAAACATAACATCGATAGCGACATAGCGATTCGACGAACACATCCAGGATTAATCTGGTAATTGAAATCAATTCGAGTTTTCGATGAGATTTGATGCTGCAAAATATCTTTGCGCATTTCGATAACCCGGTTGCAACTTGTTTTAAAAATAAAACAAGCCGGATTTTGTTGGATCAGCTTGATTGAAAAAAAACTCGCTTCGTGTTGCAGGTGCGTGTAACGAGTAATCCGCTGGCCGGTGAAGGCGAATCCGAGGCCGAATTGGGCACGTGTTTCGATAATCCGAACCACATTGAGCTACCATCTGCCAATCAACGGCCTAGCGGTACCAGTGCCATTGACACTACTACTTATTCCAAGAGAGATAGAATAGCGCGGAACAGTTTCGCGGCGAAATCCGCGGTCAAACCATCCGCGGTGATACCACCCACTACGACTACGGCGGCGACGACAGCAACGTCGATGGTAGCTCCGATAATGACCACCGCGCGGAACGAGTAATTATGATTGATCGTTATTGCTCTTCCTCATATAGAGGATTCATTCTTCGGAAATTCATTAAATACTGTCTTTAAATAAAAAAGATATTCTAGGAAAAAATTGCGTAGAACAGATGATGTTTAATAACTTTCTGTAATACTTTTTCATTTTTCTTACGATTCTAATGAGTTAATAAGCTGCCTATAATGGTAACTTTGCGAACGCAAATTTGTCATTGCGAATTTTTTTACAGTAACGATGATATTCCTCCACCTTTACCGCCGCATGGAGTGCCAGTTACAAACTCGATATCGACGACAACGGCGACTACCGCGACGGTCGGCATGAACAATACGAGCAACGGCAATAACGAAGATTACAAACCACCGGTACCACCACACAGGAACACGGGGATAAACGTGCGGCTACCAGAACCGCCGCGAAAACACCGTCACAGAGCGTCCAGCGGCGGCAGCGGCAGCCATCACGGGAATAATCATCGGCACAGCAGCAAAACACAGCAATCGAATCATCATGTAGTCAAATCACATGGGAAAACCAGAGTGGACAACGTTAACAAACAGAACGGTGAAGATGAAGAATTTGTGGAACTAGCGAATCACGACGACAATAGACATCTCGCGAAAGACGCTGGAAGATCCCGAGAGATCAAGAGGGCGACCATAGTTGGTAATCCGATGTACTCGTCGTTTTCCACCTCTGCCGTTGTATCCACTGTCGTCTCTACCATAAATTCGTCTACTCCTACTGGTGGCGCGGCCTCGTCCACTACCACATCTCCGCCGTCCTCGTCGCCGTCCGCTTCTTCCTCCTCGTCCTCTTCTAGCTCCTCTTGTGCCTCATCCTCTTCCCAAGAGCAGGAGGAAGCGGTGGCGCTCGATGACCTTAATCTGGGCATGGATTACAACCAGATCATGCAGTATTTCGACAATCTGAAGGAGTCGAATGCCTAGGTGAGGCCATTCGACCTCTTCGAAGGTCGAGTAGTAGTCAACGCTGATACGGAACACCGGGATCCTCGTTAGTAGGTACAGAGAGTGCGGGGCGAGTTACGCCTTTGTTTTCTTTCCCCTCTTGAAGATAACGATTTTCCGGATATTTCGTATCTTAGACTGTAATCTAGTCAGCTTCCTAGCAGCACATCAAGATAAACGCGCAAACACGTACATAAGCAAAATACATACGTGCAATACACGTACACATACTCGTATTAACAAAACTTAAAAAAGGGGGATAACTCCTTCATACGTTCATACAGTCTCTCGACAATTTGTTACGACTGCAATTTTTGGGCGCAACGGGTGAAAGTTCCTAAAGTACGATATAATTTACCGATTATACATTCGTATTTCATCGCATCCATACGTAAATAATGATATTATTACGTAAATAATACGTAAAATGTATTATGTGCGATAATAAGATGAAATTGATGATGAGAAGAAATTGTGTATCACATCGATATTTTATATTATAGACATGAAGATGCATATTTTCACTATATTTTTTACCATTTTTACGAATTGTCAAAATGGTTTGATATGAGTATCTTTTTCTTCTTCTTTTTTTTTTGCTATTTTTATGTGCGAAACATTTTTTTTGATAACTTTAAAACTTACTAATACGGACTGATAACACACAATATGTTTAACAGATTTAATCTATCGTGATTTATATTCTAGTATACATGCGAAATATTCAAATATCGCGACTACGAAAATTTGCTGGCGTAATAAATAATCGGAATACTGTTTGTACACGCAAGAGGCTTTAAACAAAACTGACTGTCGGTGGCTGGTGGGGTAGGTAGATCGCTCGCTCGACGATGAAAGCGTCACACGGCGTTTCGACGTTCTGTTCTTCGTTGCGAGCTTTCATTTTCATGCAGGATCATTGCAAGATCCTCGCTCTTGACCCCGTGCCATCTTGATCTCTCGCTCGAGCCCTTCCTCCGCTACCACAGTTCCTCTCCTCGTCAAGCCGCAAGAAAATAAGCTTCGGACCACTCGAGATCCTTTGTATTTCGATTGTATATGCATCTGAAATAAGATTTCCAAATGCTTATCATTTTCGTGTAATTTTTATAGAATTTTTTGTGTCGAATTTCATGTCATAAGCTAATCATTTATGACATCTAAAATTTTTCGAGTTCAAAATATTCTGAGAATTTTTAATTTCATTTCGCGTGTCGCGTCAACAGCGAAATTTTTTTACTTTAACTTTTTTACTTTTTCATTAAATGACATCGTCAATCAATTAGCCGAGATCGGTATGCAAGATGCAATCGAAATACGACGAAGTGTTCACTTGCGACCTGACCCGGTCGCTCTGGAGGACATATATTTATTCAATCGACTTATGTCGTAATGTTTGTAAATTTTGCTTTGTAAGACTGTGTACATATATACATTACACACACACACACACACACACACACACACACACACACACACACACACACACACACACACACACACACATATATATATATATAGACGCGAGATAGAGCGCATGTTAATTATGGACTTACAGATTTAAAGTTACATTTATATGGCTAATAGTGAATCGCGCAAATCGTTCCACGCGTCGTTTGACGAGAAACACGCTTGGTTCGAACTGTATCGAACGAGAAAAAAAAACGTCAACGACGAAATACGCGTATACGTTATTCTACGATGCTCGAACGCTACTCTCTGACGTCGCTTTTCGAATTACCTTTCATCCCGAAACTCCGCGATCTAAGTACGTCGGTGGTATTTTTTACCATGCCGAAAATACTTTTATCACACGAATGCATCTATAGGTGTGTATGGCATTATCAAAGCGAGATCAGTATATGGATATATAAAGCATTTTGACATTAGTACCTAATTATAATGTATCAACATGTACTAGGTACAGTATCGAGTACGATATCTTAATTAAATGCGCTCTTGCTTTAAACATTTGTATCTAGGTATTATATCTGTTACGGGATACTGTAACGTGTGTATATATACATATACATATACTTGCCATATCAAGTGTATAATTGTATATTTACCGTAAAAATATTATCTGGAATATTGAAGTTGGCCGTACGATATGAAGAAGATATCCTACTTTATTTTCTAACATATCTATTCTGTTTAGATTTTATTTATAACCTCTAGCTTGTTTTAATACTTAATAATAACATTCAATATCAAGAATAAGTTTTTCAGAATTTTTAACAACTATTCCATACGTATAGTTAGATGCTATTCTGAAAAATATATGTACTATTATACAAACATATTTTTATCATGTATCCGTATTTGTACCTAGATACAAAGAAAAACATGTAGCCGTTTGTCGGAAATATGTATAAATTAAATGAACATTATTGTCTGTAACAGATTTATTAATCGAAAACAAACATACACAAACTTTCAATTGATTGAAATTAACCGATTATTTTCTCATATATTCTCCATTTAATCAATACGGAAGTACATCTGAATAAAAACAAAATAAATGTTCCCGGCAAAAAGTACATAAATATAAAACTATGAAGCAAAAAACATATTTTATAATGGATAAATTTCATTTTTTATAATTTTAATAATTATAAAATACAATTTTTTTTCATTCTGTTCATTTTATTTCTATTATTTCTTTATTTTAAATTTAGATATATGATTCTTTATATTTCAAAATATGCAACTATTAAATATAAGCTCTATAGAGAGCCCTAAAAATATCTTTTGAAAAAAATTATTTGCAGTTCGTGGACAATCAGCAGAAATGTTTGCTTAGTTTGTACATATTTTTACTCGTACTTATAACAGCAAAGAGAAAGAAAGAGAAAAAAACCACATGTTCTTCCTAACCGACTAGAATAGTTATGAGCTCACCCATCATCCGTTATTGTTTTCCATATTAAAATCTGATCACTGCAAAACGATCGAATAAAATAAGACAGAGATAACTTTAGATGCGAAGAGAACGACTTACTCCAAGGATCAGCCAGAAAATCTATAGCTATATATGTATTTAAGGACTACGGTGTCTAAGTATGTATGTTGTAAGTTGTGTATCAGCACATCGCGTGGGACAATAGTGATCTTAATTCATCGGTGGCGAATGGCGTTCGGCGAACAAACGAACGGCGATGCTTCGTCGTAAAACACGGTGAAATGAATATGATTACGCGGTTACGCATTGGAAGAAGAATCGGAACAACGTGAGCGTATTCCGCCGAAAATCTAGTCTTATAGCGTAATTACATAATGATATATAAATATATATATATATATATATATATATATATAAATATATAAAATATTAATCAATGCGATGTACGTTGCCTTTCGCCCGATGATAATACGTATCTTACGAATGCCCCGCGGTCACCATCGATGCGTCAAGCTTGATGTATATATAATCGACCCTTAACGGATATGGCGAAAACGAATCATTTATTCAGACGTTCCTAGAATGATATAAAAAGATATATTAAAATATATTTAAAAAATTAAAATTGCTAAAGATAGAAATAACAAAACAAGAGTTCATTTTTATGTTATTAATAATAATATGACGAAATTCATACTGACTTGGTGTGGGCACTCGGTATACAGTGGCTTAAATTTGCATAAAACAAAAAAACAAATATAGTCTCATATCATTAGTCTCATATTATACAAGATTCCACCATATCAGTTAAGGTTAAATAGTTTTCGAACCGATTGCAAAAATATATTCTCCTATTCAACAATCATCAATTTTTTAATACATTTTACATTTTTTACATTAATACATATTAATACATATTACATTTAATACATATTACATTTTTTAATACAACTTTCTCACAACTTAATTCAGACTTAATCCAGATTTCGAATAAAAAATGTATGAAATTATGAAAATGTTAATCATCTATTTTCTAGCATGGAATTTGCAAATATTGTTTTTTGCAATCAGTTCTTATGCCTTGAGAGCGACTATTCATAGTATATTCTTTTATGAACACAAAACTGAAAATGACTTTCAGTATAGCGATTCATTAAAGAAGTATCTATAATATAACTCAAGCGTACTTTGTAACTTGTATTCGTATCTCAAACTCTCTTGACACTTAATATGTTTAATTCTCGGATCCAGTAATATTAAACATAATATTAAAGTTTAATACTATGACTTTTCTAATAATAGAACATATATTTACATATATTTTTAAGCACATTAATTCAATTCAATCTTTATATATGAAATAAATAAGTTCGATCTGCTGAATGTGAGATACGAGTATAGTTTTAGCTTCAGTTTCAACGTCGTCTAATCACTTTATTCTTTTTCGTTGCTCCCTTTTTTCAAATGAACGGAGAAGCGAGATTCAACGGTGAACACGGTGAAAACTTGTAGGAGTCGATCATATCCGTATCAAGTATCAAGCAAAACAGGCGCATGCTAATCGTTCGTATATATAATCTAACTATATTATCTAACGATTTTGATATAAGGACATCCTCGGTGATTATCATGATGCCATAGCGTTTACTTAGTCTTACTGAGAGTGGTCGGAGTCAGTGGCTTGTATATCGTATATTAATATATATCGTCGCAAGGCGCACACACACACACACATATACATATATTAGACGAAGCTCATGCACATATACACTTGCGATTCCACATAATTTCGATGAAAAACTTTCATAGTGTCGTTATATGCTTCTCTGCAAAACTAACCATCGGTATATATTCTTTTTAATCTAATCCAATGATTCCCAACAAGATTTTCGCAGGAGATTTCAAAGATGCGTTTTATAGCAATTTTTCGTCATAGCTTCATCATAACTTCTTCTTGCTGTATTTATCTTTGTTCCTTTATTTATCTTTTTTACTTTTTGTAATCTTTTTTGTTAAATAATTGTAAAAATAAAAAATTATATATAATATTAAAATTATATATAATTATAAATATTATATATATGTTTAATCTTAGAACAATTATATTTTTACAGATACTCGCATGAAATAACTTAATATTCGATCACTTGGGAATCGCTGGTGATCCTTTCGTAAAGATTTTTTTTATCTCCACATTTTGTTTCACGATTCATTCAATTTTATGCAAAAATGCCTATTCACGACCAACGTAATAATAAGTGGTAATGGATGCGCATATCTTTCGCGTATATCTTTCTAATCCTCCCTATTTCCTGAGCCTCCTCTTGATTATAGGGTGCGATAATCTCATTACTGACTCTACATCCACGCACATTCCTCAAACCCGTCACACTTAAGTAAAGCAGAACTAAATAGTGAAGAAGAACGGAGAAAGCGATAATTAGTAATTATTAATTGCGCTAGCGACGGCGACGCTCGAGGACGCTGACGATGGCGGTGGTGACCGCATCCACGACATCGACAATATCCAACGATGCAAGGTATTTTTGAACGACTTTAAGACAAAAAAATCGTCACTTTTTGTTTTAAAAGTTCAAAGACATCTTGCTCGTTCGTATTGTCGCAAGCATAGTATCAGCACAAGACATCGGAGTCTTTTCATGATGCCGGATAATATTTAAAGCAATTTTTCGACGTTTTATTAGAATAAACATATAACATAAATTTCTGCAAAAATATCTTTTGTTAAATACTTTAAATAGTTTCAGTTTCTTTTTTCTTATCTCTTTTAAAGTTAAACAGAGGCCGAACATTTAAAAAACATTTAAAAAAAGGTCAATAAGTTTATATTAGAATCATTATTTTGTTTTAAAGAAATAGAAATGAATAAAATATTAAAATTTTATTCTCTTCTTTTTTCTATTTGAAAGTATAATTTTATATTTTTTAGATCAAAATCCATTATTCTAAAGTAAAGTTAAGTTAATCATAAGTTCATTGAGATAAAACGTTGAAAAAAAAAAAACTCTAAAATGCTGCGTCCGGAAAACTAGAATGAGCCCTCTACTCTCATTAATAAAAATATTATTATCATGTCTATTAATATACTGCTATTGTTAATTGTACTATCATTATATTGTCATCGTTGCTGTTGCTGTTATTGTTATTAAGATTGTTGCTGCTGTTGCTATTGCTGTTGCCATCGCTGCGTCGATCGCGCATGTCCCGGAAGAGGCGTCGTTGACGTTGTCGTTGCCATTATCGTCATCGCGGCCGTGATCATCGTCATTGTCGACATTAATGTACATCAAGGATATGCTATAATTAATAACAATAAGATACGACCTATCGCCTACTCAATGTACAATATGTAGTATTTACCTGTTGTTACCATCAAACCGTCATCAAAGATATATAAAAATATTGTAATTGTAACATTGAGCTTTTTATATCACTAAACCCTTTCTTAACCTAGCACATATAGCTTTCGTAGATTCTAGAGAAAGAAATTATACATTTTTCTATATTAATTTTCATCGAAATTAATTCTTTCCAATTTCATGCAAAATTAACAGATTATTTTCATTAAAATTAATAGCAAGACTAATCGGGGGCTCGAGCGAGATTGCTTGATGCAATCTCTCTTGTCGTGCTCCAGGAGGATTATTTGTATATTTGCCAATGACGTTGGAGGGTGTCGCCGTTACAGTCTGACCTGCATCCATCGAGAGAATAGGACCATCATTTCTCTGGAGTACCGGTCGTGGGGATTCGAAAGAATACATGTATAT